TTTTTTTTTTTTTTTTTTTTTTTTTTTTTTTTTTTTTTTTTTTTTTTTTTTTTTTTTTTTTTTTTTTTTTTTTTTTTTTTTTTTTTTTTTTTTTTTTTTTTTGAAAAAAAATAATATAGTCGTCTTCTGAAATTTTAATTTTGCAAAGAATAGAATAGAATAGAAAAATGAATAGAATGAAATGAATATAGCCGTCTTTCGAAATTTGAAAAGAATAGAATAAAACAGAGAAGAATAGAAAAAATTAATAGAATAAAATAAGGGATTAAGGGTTAAGGGATTTTCCTTCTTGAAGGTCAGCTTTTCTTTATTGTACTCTGACCGAGCCCCTTGATGCTTGGTCACATGACGCTGATCAGCAATGCCGACCTCATACAACTACCACCCCCCCCCCCAGCAGTGTACAATGACATACCTGGCATGGCCATTCCGTGCCCTACTTTTCGTGGTCCTCCTCCACCTGTACAATAAAGAAAAGCTGACCGTCAAGAAGGAAAATCCCTTAACCCCTCCCCCTCCAGAGGATTCCCCTCCCCCTTCCTGACCACGCCTTTTTTTTGCGTTACAGCGCTGCGTTACTTTAAACGGCAATTGCGCGGTCATGCAACGCTGCACCCAAATGAAATTTACGTCCTTTTTTTCCCACAAATTGAGCTTTCTTTTGGCAGAATGCGATCGTCTGTGTGGTTTTTATTTTTTGCGGTAAAAAAAAAAACCCCAACAATTTTTGGAAAATTTTGAGAAAAAAAAAAATTTTGGACTTTTTTCTCTTAAACACATCCAGTAAAAAAAAAAAAAAAAAAATCAAATTTCGTCATAAATTTAGGCCAAAATGTATTCTGCTCTGTGTCTTTGCTGAAAAAAGAAAAAAAATTCCAATACGTGTAAATTAAAAGTGAAAGTTAAAGCGTTTATAAATGGCGGTATATATTCTGGGATTTTTTTTTTTATACTAGTAGTGATGGCGATCAGCAACTTATAGCGGGACTGCGGTGGACATTCTGACACTGGGGGGGAACTGACTGCTACTTTTTTTCCCCCCCCCCCACAAAATGGAGCTTTCTTTCAGTGGAATTTGATCGCCTGTGTTTTTTTTTTTTTATATATTTTTTATATATTTTTATTAGTAATGGCAGCGATAGGCAACTTATAGCGGGACTGCTGAAATGTAAGTCCTTTTTTTTCTCACAAATAAAGTTTTTTTTTTCTGTGGTATTTGATCAGCTGTGCATTTTTTATTTTTTGTGCTTTAAAAGAAAAAAAAAAAAAAAAGACTGACAATTTTTTTTTTTTTTACAGCACAAAAAATAAGACCAATAATTTTGAGAAAAAAAAATATTTTTAACTTTTTGCTATTAAACATGTCCAGTAAAAAAATAATAAAAAAAAAAAAAAATCAAGTTTCATCATAAATTTAGGATAAAATGTAATCTGCTCCGTGTCTTTGCCAAAAAAAAAAAAAAAATCCCAATACGTGTAAATTAATTGGTTTACATCAGGGGTGGGTAACTGTGGTCCTCCATCTGTTGTAGAACTACAAGTCCCATGAGGCATTGCAAAACTGACAGTTACAAGCATGACTCCCAAAGGCAGAGGCATGATGGGACTTGTAGTTCACCAACAGCTGGAGGGCCACAGTTGGCCACCTCTGGTTTACGTGAAAGTTATAGCGTCTACAAATGGCGGGATAGATACTGGAATTTTTTGTTTTTTATCAGTAATGGCGGCGATTAGCAACGTATAGCGGGACTGCTGAAATTTAAGTCCTTTTTTTTTTCCGCACAAATAAAGTTTTTTCTCTGTGGTATTTGATCACCTGTGCATTTTTAATTTTTTGTGCTATAGAAAAAAAAAAAGACATTTTTTTTTTACAGCGCAAAAAATAAGACCAATAATTTTGAGAAAAAAAACTATTTTTTTTTTACTTTTTTCTATTGAACATGTCCAGTAAAAAAATTTAAGAAAAAAATCTAAATTTTGTCATAAATTAGATTAGCAACTTGAGCAGGACTGCTGAAATTTACGTATTTTTTCCTCTCCACAAATGGAGCTTTCTTTTGGTGGTATTTGATCGCCTGTGCGTTTTTTAGTTTTTTGCGCTATAAAAAATAAAAAGACCAATAATTTTGAGAAAAAAAAAACAATATTTTTGACTTTTTGCTAATAAACACGTCCAGTAAAAAAAAAAAAAAAAAAAAAAAAAAATCTAATTTTGTCATAAATTTAGGCCAAAATGTATTCTGCTCCATGTCTTTGCTAAAAAAAAAAATCCCAATACGTGTAAATTAATTGGTTTACGTGAAAGTTATAGCGTTTACAAATGGCGGTGTAGATAATGGGATTTTATTTTTTAATTTTTATTAGTAATTAGCAACTTATATCGGCACTGCTGAAATTTAAGTCCTTTTTTTTTCGTACAAATAAAGTTTTTTTTTTCTGTGGTATTTGATCACCTGTGCATTTTTAATTTTTTGTGCTATAGAAAAAAAAAAAAAAAACCACACGACAATTTTTTTTTTTTACAAAAAGACAGTAAAAAAATATAGTTTTTTTCCTCAAAATTATTGGTCTTATTTTTTGCGTTGTAAAAAAAAAATTCTCTTTTTTTTATAGCACAAAAAATTAAAAAATGCACAGGTGATCAAATACCACAGAAAAAAAAAAAACTTTGTGCGGAAAAAAAAGGACTTAAATTTCAGCAGTGCTGCTATAAGTTGCTAATCGCCGCCATTACTAATAAAAAACAAAAACACGTCCAGTAAAAAAATTAAAGAAAAAATCTAATTTTGTCATAAATTAGATTAGCAACTTTAGCGGGACTGCTGAAATTTACGTCTTTTTTCCTCTCCACAAAGGGAGCTTTCTTTTGGTGGTATTTGATCGCCTGTGTGTTTATTTTTTCCGCTATAAAAAAAAAAAACAAAACCGATAAATTTGAGAAAAAAAAACAAACAATATTTTTGACTTTTTGCTATCGAACAAGTCCAGAAACAAAATAAAAAAAAAAAAAAAAAAAAAAAAATCGAAATTTCGTCATAAATTTAGGACAAAATGTATTCTGCTCCGTGTCTTCGCTAAAAAAAAAAAATCCCGATACGTGTAAATTAATTGGTTTTATGTGAAAGTTAGAACGTTTACAAATGGCGGTGTAGATACTGGGATTTTATTTTTTAACTTTTACTAGTAATGGCGGCGATTAGCAACTTATAGCGGGACTGCTGAAATTTAATTCCTTTTTTTTCGCACAAATAAAGTTTTTTTTTTTTTGTTGTATTTGATCACCTGTGTATTTTTTTATGGTTTGTGCTATAAAAAAAAAAAAAAAAAACTAAAAAAACAAAACAAAAAAAACACGACAATTTTTTTTTTTACAGACAGTAAAAAAATATTGTTTTTATTCTCAAAATTATTGGTCTTATTTTTTGCGTTGTAAAAAAAAAATTGTCTTTTTTAGCACAAAAAATTAAAAAATGCACAGGTGATCAAATACCACAGAAAAAAAAAATGTATTTGTGCGAAAAAAAAAAAGGACTTAAATTTCAGCAGTGCCGCTATAAGTTGCTAATCGCCGCCATTACTAATAAAAAACAAAAACATGTCCAGTAAAAAAAATTAAAGAAAAAAAAATCAAATTTTGTCATAAATTAGATTAGCAACTTTAGCGGGACTGCTGAAATTTACGTCTTTTTTCCTCTCCACAAAGGGAGCTTTCTTTTGGTGGTATTTGATCGCCTGTGTGTTTTATTTTTTCCGCTATAAAAAAAAAACAAAACCGATAAATTTGAGAAAAAAAAAAAACAATATTTTTGACTTTTTGCTATCGAACAAGTCCAGAAACAAAATAAAAAAAAAAAAAAAAAAAAAAAAAAAAAAAAAAAAAAAAATCGAAATTTCGTCATAAATTTAGGACAAAATGTATTCTGCTCCGTGTCTTCGCTAAAAAAAAAAAAATCCCGATACGTGTAAATTAATTGGTTTATGTGAAAGTTAGAACGTTTACAAATGGCGGTGTAGATACTGGGATTTTATTTTTTAACTTTTACTAGTAATGGCGGCGATTAGCAACTTATAGCGGGACTGCTGAAATTTAATTCCTTTTTTTTTCGCACAAATAAAGTTTTTTTTTTTTTTTTGTTGTATTTGATCACCTGTGTATTTTTTTATGGTTTGTGCTATAAAAAAAAAAAAACTAAAAAAACAAAACAAAAAAAAACACGACAATTTTTTTTTTTTTACAGACAGTAAAAAAATATTGTGTTTTTTTCTCAAAATTATTGGTCTTATTTTTTGCGTTGTAAAAAAAAAATTGTCTTTTTTAGCACAAAAAATTAAAAAATGCACAGGTGATCAAATACCACAGAAAAAAAATGTATTTGTGCGAAAAAAAAAGGACTTAAATTTCAGCAGTGCCGCTATAAGTTGCTAATCGCCGCCATTACTAATAAAAAACAAAAACATGTCCAGTAAAAAAAATTAAAGAAAAAATCAAATTTTGTCATAAATTAGATTAGCAACTTTAGCGGGACTGCTGAAATTTACGTCTTTTTTCCTCTCCACAAAGGGAGCTTTCTTTTGGTGGTATTTGATCGCCTGTGCGTTTATTATTTGCGCTATAAAAAAAACAAACCCGATAAATTTGAGAAAAAAAAAACAAACAATATTTTTGACTTTTTGCTAATAAACACGTCCAGTAAAAAAAAAAAAAAAATTCTAATTTCGTCATATATTTAGGACAAAATTCTGCTCCGTGTCTTCACTAAAAAAAAAACCCCAATACGTGTAAATTAATTGGTTTATGTGAAAGTTATAGCGTTTCCAAATGGCGGTATAGATTTTTTTCATTTTTACCAGTAATGGCGGTGATCAGCGACTTATGGTGGGACTTCGGTGGGCATTCTGACACTGGGGGTGGGAACTGACTTGGTGTCACTGACATCTCCAGTGACACCAATACAGTGATCAGGGGTAATAAAAAACAGCACTGACACTGTGCTAATGACACTGGGCAGGAAGGGGTTAACAT